CAAAATGGATCATATATGCTAATATATGCTAAAAAGCTACCTACGTACCGAATTTTAAGCAAATCGGACCGTAAATACGATTTTTTCGAATAGTTCAGTCCCTGGTCCACTTCTCGGAAAAAATTGACCATATATCCTAATATATGCTAAAAAACTAATTACGTACCGAATTTTAAGCAAATCGGACCATAAATACGATTTTTTGGAATAGATCGGTCCCTGGTCCACTTATCGGAAAAACTTTATCACATATGCTAATACATGCTAAAAAGCTACCTGCGCGCCGAATTTTAAGCAAATCGGACCGTAAATTCGATTTTTTCGAATAGATCGGTCCCTGGACCACTTCCCGGAAAAAATGGGTCATATATGCTAATATATGCTAAAAAGCTACTTACGTACTAAATTTTAAGCAAATCGGAATATAATAAGATTTTTTCGAATAGACCGGTCCTGGTCCACCTACCCGAAAAAAAGAAAAATTTTTTAGCCTTAAACATGGTGGTTACCGAAAGCTATTTGTATACAAAATTTTATGAAAATCGGACCAGCCGTTCGCGAGATTACCTGTTACAAAAAAAAAGGGACTTCTCTTTATATAATTAGTATAGATAACTAAAATTAAATAACAAAAATATAAATTGAAAAAAATTGGTCAAAGTGTGCACTTAAAACATCAATAAGAATCAAATTTAGATAGTTATGGAAATATACCCTCATTGTCCCGTGGCGAAAGTTTGGGAAATGACACAGAAGTTGATGAAGACACCATGAAAGCAGATTGGGGTACCTGAACCACGTATGGTAATGAGTGCTGTATTGGCTGATTCATGTTAAAAAATTTGTTCATCATTTTTGCAGTTTCTTCGCGATCTTTCGCCAGAATTGCTTCCATTTCTTTTAGGTTTCTTTCTAATAATTTCTCCCGCTTACTTGTCTGCTGCTCTGCCAATTCTTTATCGTGCTCCTTCATAGTTTCAAGCAACTCCTGCTGCGACTTTTTCCAATCCTCCGTAAAATACTCTACCACTTTGTGATAACTTCTCTTCTCTGAAAGAAAAAAAAAAAACACAAAATAAATGGTTAAATAGTTGCTAAAAATTATACATTAAATACATACTTGCTCTTTCAAAAGTGTGCGATTTTTCTCTGCAGGCAGGGCTTTGGCTTTCTGCCCTGGTGTCGTCTTCGTTAACAATTGAGTCCTCTTCTTCGCCATGATGGATGCCCGGTGACATATCAGGCAAACACTCGAGGTCGAGTGCCTCCAATGCTGGACGATGGCCAAAAATTTCTTCAAAAAGCTAAAAGTGTTCGCATGTTTGCCGCTTTGCCCCACTTTTGCTGTTGCTTCGCTTGATTCTATAAAATTCGGATGTAAAACTTTTAAATTTATTTCGAATTTGTACACCGCTTTTTATAATA